CAAACAAACAAACAACATAAACTGCCATTACTGCTTATATACACCACTTTTGAGAGACGCCGTCTTATAGCGGCTAGACGCTCGCCTGTGGATCGCAAGGTGGTGGGTTCAGGTCCAGACGGAGTTGGACTATTTTTTAAAAAATGATCGTAGGACTATTTTTCAAAAATGATTTCGGCTCCCAGGTCGACCCAGCCTTGAGTGGGTACCAAGTGCAGTACTGTGAAGTAAAGGCGGCCGGCGTGATGCTGACCACATCACCCACCAAGTGTCGATTAGTCCATAAAATATAGGTCTAGCCCTATATGCCCATTAGGCATAAAGACATGGAAATAGAGTCCCCCTTTTTAACTACTTTTTTTCCTTTCTCTTCCCTATTTCTTTTTTTTTTTTAATTTCGAGATCTTTAAGTTGAGTTGAATTAATTTTAGTCAAGAATTAACATCACATCACTCAGTGCATTCCTATAGGCGCTCCGTCCCCATCTTCAGCAGCCAGCGCAGAGTTCGAATACTAATGGTACCGTTCGCAGTCTGGTTATATGTCCGTCTTGTCTTTCCTCTGATTGTAGTTTGCCGGCCCGACCTCCTGGTCATACCCAGATACATAATTCTCATAAGTCCATAATAATCAAGTTACTTGTTCCCAAAGGGCATAGATCACATCTACCTTGTCATGTATCAATCCACTACCCAGTGGTGCAGATCCAGCCAGTCTATCTGCCTGTTCATTCCCCACCACGCTGGCGTGGCCTAAAGAAAAAAAATCCAAAGTATGCACCCTACCCGTGACCTTCCAAGCGAAGCTTGCCACTCTGCTCTAAGCATTTTTAGATATTTTTCAGAGAAGTAAAAGAAAAGATGCAGTAAAATAAATCCCAGTTAAGGGGTCAGCAACCATTCAGTGGTTCTGTGCCGCAGTGATGCAGCAAAGTGATCACCGCACCGAAGTAATGCAGCAAAGTGATCACCGTGCTGAAGTAATGCAGAAAAGTCATCACCGTGCTGAAGTAATGCAGAAAAGTCATCACCGTGCTGAAGTAATGCAGAAAGGCTATTACTGTACCGAAGTAATGCAGCAAAGTTATCACTGTGCCAAAGTAATGATGCAAAGTTATCACCGTGCCAAAGTAATGCAGCAAAGTTATCACCGTACCGAAGTAATGCAGAAAAGCTATTACCGTAATGCAGCAAAGCTGTCATTGTACCGAGGTAATGCAGCAAAGTTATCACTGTACGGAAGTAATGCAGCAAAGTTATCATTGTACCGAAGTAATGCAGCAAAATTGTCACTGTACTGAAGTAATGCAGCAAAGTTGTCACCTCGCCGAAGTAATGCAGCAAAGTTATCATCGTGACAACATTATCGATCGATCGGTTTGTCTCCTCCAGGATGCTCCCTGAAGGTTTACAACCCTGACTGAAATTAAAACTATCATCAGTCTGGCTAGCAAACCAAGGGAGGCAAATATCCCAGACACCCCGTTTGAGCTGTAAAGAAGCCCCACAGTTAGGATACCAGTAACGGTTCACCAGCCCGGTATAACGTGCAGTCTTGCGCCAGTAAGGATCATGGAAGTCCTAACAGCAAGCATCATAGGCACCTGTATAAACCAGTGCTGGGGCCCCATACGACAACCACTCACAGAAATATCTTTTTTTTTTTCAATAATATGCACAAAATCGCATGAAGTCACTATTCTCGAGGGACCCTTAGGCACGTGCCCAGCGTGCCTATGGGTTAAGACTGAACTGGTAAGGATTTTGCCAACTTTAGTCAACCTTACTTTTATATATACACTCGCCTCGGATCCCAAGGTTGTAGGTTTAAATCCTATCGAGCCGGATTTGTTTACTAATGACCTTCCCTCCCATGTCAACCCAGCCTTAAATTTGTACCAGGTAAAGTCCTGGGAAGTAAAAGCGGCCGGCGTGATGGCGACCGATTTGTCTATAAAATCTAGACCAGTGGCTCTTAACCTTTCTAATGCCGCGACCCTTTAATACAGTTTCTCATGTTGTGGCGACCGCCAACCATACAATTATTTTCGTTACTACTTCATAACTTCAATAAATATTATTTCTGATGGCCTTAGACTCCTGTGAAAGGGTCGTTTCGACCCTCAAAACGGTCGCGACCCATAAGTTGAGAACCGCTGATCTAGACCCAGCACTATATGCCCAATATGCCTAATGACTTAAAGAAGCATCCAGTTTTTTTTTAATTTTTTTTATTTAAATACAAAAAATAACTTGAAATTTAACAGAATTGTATGCTTCTATTATTAAAGGTGAAGATAACGTTTTATGCGATCCAGTAGTGTACTTCAATGCACCCAGCGTGCCACTAAAATCTTCCGCGTGCCATACGTTTCCAAAGTCTGTCTGTCATAGTCTCACTCTTCTCCTAGTCTCTCTGAATTCACGCAGTTCCCTTTCAGTCTGAGTATAGATTCTCACTCCTAGTTGGGGCTGCGCCCAAATTTGGAGCACAGGTGACTTTAACCACCCCCCCCCCCCCCCCCCCATTTGTGCGTGGGCCTGGAAACCCCATACCCATTAATACAAGTTATCTTGTTAAGTATTTGTTGATACATTTCATATTATTTATTTGATAATTATTTACCAGTCAGCAAAGTATTATTATTACCGTGCAGGCCTGATAAGGAGAACTCACCGGGTATTCAAGAAATGGTTCTTCTTATCAAAAATCTCTCTTATCCGGGTTAGAATTCAAGCAAGAAAAATTGTTCTTCACAACGGAAATTCACTACATTCGAGATCGCCTTAAGCGGTCTGCACTGTATTACGTACTCAAAAACGTCTTCTGTCCAATCAGCCCCCCCCCCCTCCCCCCCTCGACTCCCGCGATCACCCTCTCATTTTTCCATCAACCCCAGAATATTGATAAGGAGGCTCAGAGCGGCGCGCGCGCACACACACACATACACACACACACACATACACAAATACATAGACACACAAATAATCTTAATAATCTAGCATAGAACAACTCAAGTGAATGCGACTATATAAAACAAATCTATATAATGTATTAATGTAAAACAGATACATATAATTTAAGGATATAGAACATTTATATGTAATATAATAATATGAAAACAGTAAACACATGTTAACATGCAAATATTTGTGTACTATGATGTTATGAATAATTCGATATACTATGAAACAGCTAAGTGATTGTGAAACTACTTAGAAAAAAAAAAACTTGATGTACTGTGAAACTATGAACAAGCCAGTGTACTGTGAAAATACATGCAGTTTAGAGTACTGTGAAACTATGAACAAGCCAGTGTACTGTGAAATTACATGCAGTTTAAAGTACTGTGAAAATACATGCAGTTTAAAGTACTGCGAAACTATGAACAAGCCAGTGTACTGTGAAATTACATGCAGTTTAAAGTACTGTGAAACTAAAAACAACATGGGGTACTGTGACACTATAAAAATCTCCATGAAATGTTATGATGTTTACAAAAAAAAATCATGATACTGTGATATTAATTAAAGCAAATACTCCATGTATTGTCAAGCTATAAATTACTTCATGTAATGCGATAATATCAAATAATCCAGTGCATTATTATTATACTATAAACAGCCCCCATATAAGTAAGTAAAGGTCCCCTTTCCCACGCTTTTTAGGCGTATTGATAATATAGGGCTAGACCTATATTTTTCACAGGCCCATCGGCCCTTGGTGGGTGATGCGGTCAGCACCACGATGGCCGTCTTTACTTCCCATGACTGCTGCACCTAATAGCCTCTCAAGGCTAGGTCGACCTGGGGGTCAAGGTCATTTTTGAGAAAAGTCCAGCACCGTGAAGACACCAACCCACGACCTTCCGTTATAGCACCCATATATTGTAACTAATTTAAATAACTAAACGTAATGTGGTATAAGTCGGTGTCTGTGGCTTAGGCGTTGCAAACGCGCTTCGTAATACCGGGGCTGCTGGGTTCGATCCCAGCTGCGGGCCTTGCGTCTTGCTTTAGTTTCGACAATGGTATCGAGAAGCCGATCTTCCAGAAAGCAATGGCAAACTATTACTTGCCTTAAAAAAAAACAGCCAAAAAATGCTGGGGTTGGTTCCGCGACGTCCTGTAAAAGGATACCCAACCAACTTGAATGTGGTATAAATTTGCAGAATGAGCAAAATGGCACAAAAAAAAAATACAACTTCAGCTATAAAAAAGCTGTACTCAATATGTTAAATGAGGGGTGCATGTTGTGTTATTTTTTATATAAATAAATCAAATCGAATGATACCATAAAAAGCTCCAAGCACTGTGACACTACAAATAATGCATTGTGCATTGATACTGTAAAAAGAATATACTCTAAGTAATGTAATATACACTAGTAGTATGAGCAAAACTTTTTCATTAGGTCTGACGGTTTGATATTCCCATAAAAACTAATCTTCAGGGCCAGTGGAAGACATACACCACACCACCACACTTTCGCAGAAGTCTGGTCTTTTCTGAAAACCATTGACGGGGAGAACGAAAAAAAAATTACAATTTGAACTTAGATCTAAATAGATTTTCGGACAAGTGGGGATGCAGGCATCTCCCACATATTATATGTTTTTAGATTTGTAATTTTTTCACATGGGGTACATATTCACAGTTATTCTTGTTTCTTCTTTATTCATAGTTATTCTTTTGCTTCTTTGCCAATAGTAAAGAATAACAATTCGAATTTACGATCTAACTAGATAGAACAAGCATGTCGTAAGAGTCGATTAACTGTAAGCTTCCGTTGAAGTTGGAGTGCATCTGCCTGAGAGGCAAGGAACCAACAATCTGCATACAAAAAAATCAGATCTGTAAGACAGATGAGAACGCAACACTCGGGTTCTGGAACAAGTCTGAAGTGCAGAGGGGAATTAACAATCAGAACTTTTCTCCGCAGTTTTTTCGAAAGAGTCTAGAATTGTAGAAATGTCTCAGAGACGGTGTCATGGATGGCTCTCAAAGGCTGATATGAAGGTCCTGCCGACACAGCGATTTCTGTATTATGGCACTTCTAGCCTCTTTCGTGATGCTGTTGTCTCCTAGCAACAGGGACTTCAGCTTCACTGCTTTACTGATGACCAGTATGACGTCATCTTGAATGTCGTTACCGATCAGATTTCCAGTCAAATCCAGTGTGGCTAAGGCTAGGCTGTCCGGTGTGGCCAGCAAGAGCAGACGAGCAATATCCCCAGACAAACCATTGTAGCTTAAGATTAGTGTTTTTAAGGTGAGGGAAGATTTGAGGATGTCTGCAAGTCTGCTACAAACCTGGTATGTGAGCGCTGGTTTGAAGTAGGCCTTTTTAGCGTCGCTTTTGTTGAACTTTCGTGACGACGACAGAATTGTCAGTTCCAGGGTTGTCAGCTGCAGAATTGAGGCACGCTCTAAGATGTGATCAGCGATAGACAGAAGGCTACACACAGGTACAAAACAATTTTCTAAAGTCAGGCTCGTTAAATCGGGACACAGGGACAGCTTTTCATTGATCTTTTCTGTGACGCTGTCAATGTTGCATTTTTTTATACGTAGATTTTGAATATAGTTCGGCCAGCAGCCTAAAATGTAGCCGATTCTGTGGTGGTAGCTGAAGTTGTCGAGCGCTAGGGTCTTCAAAGCAAGCATTCTCTCACTGAACACTTTGTGAACCCGCTTGTGTTCGCTCGGCGTTAAGTTCTCCGCCACGTTCATGGGTCCCTCCAAGTACAGAGTGTCAATGTGAGAGTTCTTCTCAAAACACTCACACAGAAAATCCACGAGAAACGAGGTTTCCACAACGGACTTCATGCTGATGCGGAGGACTCTCAAATTGGACAGAGTATTCAGCGCTTCCGCTAGACTGATACCCAGGTCCCAGTGTGCGTAGAGGCCGCTCATGTACAGCACCACTTCTTTGATGGGAGGCACGCTGCCTTTGGTCAAGCAAATAAAGTGGTCAATTGTTTCTGGTGGGCATTTGTGGTAGGAAATGACCAGGATATCGGGAAATCTGTTGGAAACTGCTCCGATATATGGCTCACTGTTGTCAGTCTCCGCCAGCCAGATTAGCGCTTCTTTAAAATCTTCCAGATATCTGGGAACAAATAGAATAACGTTGACATTATAATATAATTCAAGTATTTCATATCTGATAGGAGTAAACTGTTAAGTAATCATGTAAAAAAAAAAAAAACAGTTGTTCCAGTGGCGGCGCCAGAAATTGTGGTTTTAGGCACTGTATGCCACCTCTAGCGGCGTCCGTGGCTAAGGCGTTGCGAGTCCGACTCGTAATCCAACGTACCGCGATCGAAACCCACTGCGGGCTGCGTAGATTTTTATCGTGGTATGGGACGTCGCAGGTCGATCCAGCCTCAAATGGGTACCAGGATGGGCTGTCCTGGGAAAGTAAAGACAGCCGGCGTAATGCTGACCACATTACCCACCGAGTGCTGATGGTCTGTAAAAATATGGGCGCTCTTCCCATATGCCTGTGGAAAGGGATCTTTTTTTTTTTTTACTTATGCCACCTCTACCCACCAAAGAACACAGGAGGCACATATATATATATCATCATCCTCAAGTGCTTTCTCGACTTTTCTGGGAAATCATGCCTCATCATAATTTGCGATGTTCAACAGCATGTATCAGTTGGGGTACTGACACCCCTCCGTGCCCTGACAAAATGTTGCCAAGAATCTTCCTGTAGTGTCTTCCCTTTGTCTCTTTGTCCACGGATATGTGCAGAAGCCACAGCATGTTCCAGTTTTCTCCCTCTCATAACTTTAATAACCCCCCCCCCCCCACCTCTTTCTGCAGTTTGTGATCAGATGTCTTTAAGCCCACCCTTTTTTTTTAAATGGGTCGCTCTTTTTAGCTGTCCAATGAATTATAAGGATATTTCTGTAAAAGCACTTGTCTGAGCCCTCAAGATTTCCATGGCTTGTTTATTAGTTTGAAGTTTGAAGTTTGAACAGCGGATCAACATCATGGCACACGGGTAGTAACCCATAGGTGCTTAGTTCTTCTTCTAACTCATGTCTGAGTCCAAAGAAGCTTAGCACAGTGCACAGGCTCTGTATCACCGGCGAGGATCCTGCAATTCTTGGGGCAGATTTTCAACTCCAAATTTTGCCCGGTCAGCGCCGTTAGGCTAGTCTTTTCGATTTCCAACTGCCAAAGGATTGTTCACGTGCGCAACAATGCACACGGGCGTCCGATCACACTATCCAGAGACCAGGGGAAATTACTAGAAGTCCAAATCTACGTTAAAAATATCCCAGAACTTACCGGAAATATAGCCCGGGCTTGTTTAATAATTGTCCAGCATTCACAAGCATGTGTTAAAAAGAAACGTATTCTAGTTAGACAACTGTATTATTAAGCATTAAGCCCGTTGAATGGCCCATTAGAAATTGGAAGTAGATTTTGTTATCCCCGTTCCCATAGGTTTCCTGTATGTAGGTACCACTATGCGTCAGCTGGAGTGTGAAGTCTTTTCATATGTTCAGAAACTGTGTTTGATCATTCCAGTTGTGACAGTTGTGTTGACAAACTCATTACGTAATCTATGGAACTGGTCAGCTGTGTTGAAAACTCCTTGTGTGTTCTGTGAAATGACACTGTCGCTTCTTCTGCCTTTCTATCCCCAATGGAGCATAGGCCCTCAACCAACTCACGCCAAGTCGTTCTATCCTTCGCCGTTGCATGGAGCTCTCCCCATGCCCTCCCCATCTTTCTAACTTCATTTTCCAGCTCTCTTCTCTGTGTGTTTTTGGCCTTCCTTTATTCCTATGCCCCTGTGGGTTCTAATGCAAAGACATGCTAGTTCTGCTGTTCTCTTGATTTATCAGTGTGTGTCCCATCCAACGCCAGCGTCTTTTCCTCATTTCTTGGTCCACTGGAGCCTGTTTAGTTCTCTCCTAAAGATCTATATTAGTTATTCTATCACACTATTTAATTCCCTCTATTCTGCGCAGGCACCAACTAGTTAATGAATGTCTGTAATTTATTAGTAATTGTCTTAATTGTTCTCCACTTTTCCACCCCATACAAAAGTGTTGATTTGACATTAGAATTAAAAAATTTAAGTTTAGTATTGCTTTTACATCCCTAATTCTGTATCGTCAGCCCACAGTTTCTTCATTCACAAATGATTTTTTTCATGGCAGTTTACTTACGCTTGTTTGTTTGTTTGTTTTAGTATCCAGAAGCCATGAGTTGTTAACCCTTAGGCTCGGTATTATGGACATCGCAACCTTTCGGCCTTGATTCTATTGTAAATACCGTAAATCTGGGAGAAATGTGGCTTTTCTGCCTACCCCCCCGGGAGTAAACCCGGACCACAAGGAGTTCGTCACCCGGTCTCCTCGCAATCCGGTTTAGCCAACTACGCTAGAGAGCCGGGCTGTATACGTAAGCCGACTTTGTATCTTCATCCGCTGTCTGCTTTAACCTGATATCGTCTTCTTCTTCTGGGTTCACCAGAAGATGTAACTGCATTGTGCCCGTTTACAGCACAACGCATCGATATCTGCCACTTTCGGCCGAGACATCTGACTTCTGCAGGCATTTGATGACCCGGTTAGTCTTCCGGGTAAACCTGATATATGTCTCTGACTGATATCTTTCTCTGAAAGCCTATTGTCTGTTTAATGTTAGTTGATCGTCTACCATGTTATCTGATAGACTTTGTCTACCTCTGCCTGGTGTATGTCTGGCTGTCTATAATGTTCGTTGTTTATCTCCGTCTGTCTGTCTGATGCTTTTCTGATCTTCTATCTCTTTCTTCGCCGTTACCGGCTGTAAACTCTGGTATAATGTTCTGGGTGTTTGTCCATCGCCAGACTGTAGTCTTGTTCCACAACCTGAGTGTTGCGGGCACAATTCACATCGGTTTCACGCGCTTATTTGTATGCAAACTCTTGATTCCTTTCCTCTCAGACAGGTCTGGTCCTCAGCGCACACACTGAGGCAGTTTTCAACAGTCATTGGTTCGTTTCTTGCTCTAAAGTGTAGTACGTGCTCTTGTCAAATCCCGGCACGGTAACTATAGCTTTAGATTTTTATGTTGTCTAGTGTGTTTTTTTATCTATCTACTTCTTTCTATGAGTGCCGATCAATACACTTTCTGTTACTTGATTAACTCTTAGACAGATGTACCCCGACTTCGATGGAAACTCCAATTAGTCGACTCCTACGACAGACTTGCTGGGGAGACAGTGGGTCTATTCTGGTTTTCCACACAATGGGTCCCCGGAACCCACACTGTGATCTGCCTGTCTGTCTTTGCTGTTTTTCTCCATCTTTTTTTTTTTTCAATAACTGTGTGCTGTCAGTAGCTGTGATTAGTCTCCAGACAATAGTATGACATGAACCCAGAGCCAGAACTCAGCAGTCTCCGCGGCTATGTTTTTATCAGTCTTGTAATCCCAGAGCAAACTTTAAATGTACATAATCGGCTCAACACTGACTAGGAATAGGCCAACAATTTGAGGTTTGAGGTTTTGAGGTTTGAACAACGGATCAATATCATGGCCCACGGCCAATAACCCATAAGTGCTCCGTTCTTCTTCTAACTAAAATCTGAGTCCAAAGAAGCTCAGCACAGTGCACAGGCCCTGTAGCACCGGCGAGGATCCTGAAATACTTTTGGTAGATATTAAACTCCAAATTGTGCCCGGGCATCGCCGTTAGGCTACTCTTTTCGATTTCCAACTGCCAAGGAATTTTTTACGAGCGCAACGATGCACACGGGCGTCCGGTCTCACTACCCAGAGAGCAGGGGGAATTACTAGGTCCAAGTCCACGTGAAAAAATCCCAGCCCTTACCGGGTATTGAACCCAGAACCTCTAGCCCTCGAGGCGGAAACTATGCCTCGAGACTACGCAGCACCCGACCAACAATTTAAAACGTCGGGGAAGGGTGAAAAAAGGGAGAAACAACGCCTTTTTATACTCACATCATAAGACACGCTCTAAAGCTGGAGGAGGGAACAAATAAAGTTCTGTAAATTTCCATAATCTTTCTTAATTTTAGTACTAAACAGATGTTTTCTTCATTTTAGCAATACCAACCAAACCCAACAGAAAACTCTATATTATATATAGTTGCCCGCTTTGCTTTTAAGAATTAAACACGCTTCTTCTTCTTCTTCTTCTTCTTCTTCTTCTTCTTCTTCTTCTTCTTCTTCTTCTTCTTCTTCTTCTTCTTCTTCTTCTTCTTCTTCTTCTTCTTCTTCTTCTTCTTCTTCTTCTTCTTCTTTTTCTTCTTCTTCTTTCCTTTTCATTCTTCTTTATTCACCAGCTGTAAGTTCCGGCGGAAAGTCCTTATGGTTCGTCCATTTGGACTTTGGTTTTGTCCTGAGTTTTGCGTGTGCATCCGTTTTACTGGCTTATTTATGTGTAGTTGCTTGTTCCTTGCCGCTCGGTAAGATGCTCTCCGACTGAAGGACGCTCCTAGTTAGTCGACTCCTACGACATGCTTGTTGTGGAGGCAGTGAGTCTATTCTTGTTACCCCAGAATGGGATCTCGGAATCCTTTAAGAAAAAGGTTTGTTGTTTAAGGAATAAGCCAAAAATGGAAAGGGGGAGGGGCAAACACTTTTATTTGGCAATCCTGCACGAGAGTTTGTGTCACTGAAAGCCTACATATGTTTTCATTGTTGAATTCGCAAGCTTTTTTATTCTGGGGGTAGGCAACTGTACGCAGTACCGCACTTTGCTTTCCAGGCAACACTTTTTCAGCTCTTTTGTAATAGACCCTTTGTGGTGTGTACCGTCACCTTGTATTTTGACACATTTTAATGAGTACCGGCTGATGAGTACCGGCGCTTTCCTAGAGAAATCTAGTCCTGATCTGACGTCACTCGTTGCACACCATGACTTAGTCACTCTACACCCGTGCGACAATATCAAACACAAACACATGCACACATACACTCTCACATACACAGACATACTCACACGGAAGACGTAATAACTGTGTGACAAGGAACAAAAATGAACACGTAGAGAGGAATGAGAGAGATGAACGACATTGAATAACCACCCTCTAGTAGGCTCAGTTGCCTCCTGTGTGGAGAAGGGACTCAGGCTGGACGTGTTTTTGAGCAGACGGTTGAAACTCGGGGACGTCCTTAGTGTGGATGTACTCTCAAAACAAGTACCGAGTATGGACGTCGACGACCGCCTCTGCTTCTGCTCTTCCCTCTTGGCCCTGAAGAGACAGTCGGAGTTCGATATGCGATATCGGTGAGGTATTTTTACTCGCAGAGGCGTATCTCCGAAGTTTGTTGGAGAAGGCCCTCGGGGAGACTGCGATGGGGACACATTGAAGTGCGTTTGAAAGCCAAATTCCTGGTACGCGAGAAGCATGTCCAGAAGATTAAGGATCAAATCTGGTCGACCGGAGATGTACAAGTTTCTAACGGTCAGACGTAAGACTGGGTAGAACTGGGGTTTGGCTATTAGTCTTTCGATGAAGCTATCACAGTCTCTGTCTGATTGAAGATATCGACAGACTCTCTTAGAGGCGAGGAAGTCTCTGATACAGCGACTGGTGAAAGATACGATTTCTCCGCTAGTCTGCATCGTCTGTACTGATTTTGCTGTGGCCTGTTTTTTAACATCTAGGAGGGTCAGGGATCTTGGCCTTTCTGCATTTTTCTTGGATGAATCTGATGAAGAGTGCACGCTTGGAACTTGCAGTAAAATTCCCGCTGCTTTTCCCATGGCTAAATCTGCGTCAGACCTACCCCCGTCCTGATCGACTGAGCTTAAGCTCTGGTTGCTGGAGCACAGCTCAGAAGAAAGAGTTATTTCAAAGTTAGAAGAGGTGCTACTGTGAACAGAATCACTGTCAGGCGTGATTGCTATGCTGACCGTTGGGGAAGCAGGTCTTTCATGGATGAAAGCAAAGTTTGCTATTTCGTGGACTTCGTGTAGGACCCGGCAATCGCAGAGATGGCGTGTCCAAAACTGCTGGGGGAACTTTTGCTTTGAAAAGTAGTTGGTGTCGTTTTCCAAACACTCAAACGCCACGGTTTCACAGACACTCTGCAGGGAAAATCTTTGTCGTCTGCCTTTTGAAATATTGTGGACGGTATTCACTTCGGGTGCCATAGCGTGGTGAATGAGGTTCTCCAGAAGCTCAGATAAGTGTTCGGGTATTTTGTCATCCTCTTTCACACTTCTTAAATACGCTACCAGTAGAGACAGGCTCAAGGGGTTGCACAGTAACTCCTGTGTGTGGTTTGAAGCCAGGAGAAATGAGATTCTGTCAATGACTTGAGGTGCTTCCGTCCTGAGCCTAGACAGGACAATCTTGTAGCTGTATTCAGTTGAAAGCCCATAACAGTAAAAGAGAGTATCTACATTGCGTTTTGAAATACGACCTGGTGTGCTGGCCACGATTATCTTTCCAAAACCATCCTTCTCGTGAAAGGCATCAGAAATGAGTCGCTCCCAAGCTTCGGACCCATCCAGGTTATCAAAGATAACACAGATATCCTCACGGTTTTTGAGCACCCATTGGTAGACGACATCAAAGGCAATGGGGTCATGTGGAAGATCGCTGAGTGTGAGCAGGTCTAGGAGAACCATAGCTGCTACATAATAGAGTCTTACCCTTACGTTGTTGCATTTAGTCAGCAGGTCTGAAAGCGCCATACGAACACAGGGGATGTATATCATAGCCTTGTAATCAGTGAGGTTGCTGGTCAGTCGGGACGGACGCTGGCGCCGTGATTCACGGAATGATTTACATCTATTTGGAGACTCAATATCCCCGTCTCCAGAACTTCCAATGTTGAGTAAAGAGAGGTACTTCTGTGGAATTCCATCAAATGCTTTGTTTCGTTTCTTGTTGGCGTTTAGTTTTTCTGAATCTTCACTGCTTCTGCTTCTACTTTCTTTTCTCAAGTTCATCTTTGACTTTGAACTAGAACTATCATTCCTGTGTGGAGACTTCCGCTGGTCTTCTTTCTGCTCCACAAACAAAGCTCGGCGAGATCTGTGACCTTCTTCTGCTGCATTCCCATCTGTAATAACAGCGATCTCAATAGCATCTTTTGGAGAAACAGTTGCAATATTTCCTGGCTTCATATCTGGACATGCGGGAATCTGAATTCTAACATCCGCTGAATCTATGCTGATACCTTCTGTCGAAGTATTATCTACTCCACACGCTGCAAGATTCCACGATCGCCTTTTTCGTTTCGCGTCTTCTTGCCCAATGTCATCATTCTCAGAAAGCGATGTTTCTGCCAAGGCGTTTCCTGTTGCTGTTCTGTGTTCAGATCCTCCGTCAGTGGATGCTTGTGGTTTAGTTATAAGTCCAGATTGTGAACTTGTGCCTCCATCTTGTTCACAGCCAACAGTGATGTGCGGTTGGTTTATTTTGACATGCCTGAAAAATTGCATGGCTTTGGCCCACTCGTGCAAGAGCCTTTGGCAGACCAGAGTTTTTCCAGTTCCCAGATCTCCCTCAATAAGAACTCTGCGACACCCGGATTTAGTTTTCTGAGAGAGACTTTCTAACGATGCGTTCTCCAATCTGTAAAATTGGTAAAAAGTAAACAGCTATCATTACAGTTACACAAATTACATGATACTAAAGAAGACGTTATTCATTCATTTATTATTCTGTTGTGCCATTATCTGTCACATAGAGCTGGCAGTCTATTTCTCTATTCCGTTATAACCTGTGCAGTTACTTCGATATCATGGATAGAATCCAGTCCAGTAGCTTTGACCTCTCTCATCAACGCTCGCCTCAGGGTTTCTCTAGGACGTTCTCCTTTCGCCTCAGACATGTGGAAGTGTATATGCTCCTACGAGTGGATAATCATGTTTATGTGAATGTAAGCATTAGGATGATTGCATTGATAGGTAGGTATGAAAGAGAAAGCAAGTGTAGGAAATGTCAAAAAAAGTGTCAATAGCGGAGTAAAAAATCTACCAAAAGTATCTCAGGATCCTCCCCGGTGCTACAGAGCCTGTGTACTGTTGTGAGCTTCTTCGGACTCAGACTTGAGTTAGAAGAAAAACGGAGCACACTACCGGTGTGCCATGGTGTTGACCCGTTGTTCACGGATATCACACAGTTGTACCTTTCACATCTCCCAAGCTCATTCAAATGTGCCTAATTCGGAACATAGTGTATATGATTATGTCTCTTGATTGTGTTTAACAACACGGCCAGTGATCTTTCACATTACGTACAACAATTATAAGCACATAGATTGCCTTTTTGTGTTTATGTGCAAGTTTTATAACCTGTTAGAATGAAAACAGTGTTGACAAATATACATTAGACTTACGTTTAGTTCAATTTACCACATGTAGGTCACATGTAGGTAAAACGAGTAGAACTGTATAGTAATACACACTTACACCACCCTTCCTCACACACACACACATACACACACAGAGACACACCCTTTCACACTCACACGCACTGACAGACATACCTAGTACGCGCTCTCTCTCTTTCTCCCTTTCTCGCTCTCTCTCTCTCTCTATCTATCTCTCACTTTCTCTGCATTTCTGTATGTCTGTCTGCCTGTATGTCTGTCACATATACAAAATATGAGATAGATGTCCTTACTCACAAACTGAGCTATTACCTGTAGATTGGAATATATGCGGGTGTGTGCTCGTTGTGTAGGTCGTCGCGGGTGTGGAAGTGAGGCACTCTCTTCAGCCGAAAAAACGAATGCCGTATGGGTAGAGCGTGTTCCAGTTTGCATGTCAGTCTGTCTGTTCGTGTGGCGTGGTCAGCGTAGACTCGCGTCAGACACGCGCAGATGAGTTCATCAGTGGGGTTAGGCATCTTGTCTGGAATATAAACAGGTAAAGGTTTACCAAGAACAACAGGTCCACAATAGAACCAAAACAAGGAGGAGAGAATCATTTATCTGGTCAGCGGCACAATGCCAAAAATCTGGCTCACTTAGCACAATCTGGGTCAAAAACTTTGCACAAATAAACCAGACCATAGATGTAACCTGCCGGCAGCAGGTTGAACGTGGTCAACTTTTTAATTTTATTGACATGGACTTCTAGTAATTCCCTCTTAAATCGTGAAGAAAAATAAAATCATTAGCACAGGCGTGTCCAACTGGCAACCCGCAATATTCTGCAATAACTGTTTTTTTTTTTTTTTTTTTTTAATGATATCAGTTATTTGTCATGTATTGCCCCATTGACAACTTAAATATGACCTATATGACCCTCGGGAGGCTCTCAGTTTGAAATGCCTGCATTAGCACATTTCAAAAAAAAAAAAAAAAGAGACACTACGTTGTGACACCCGAAAGTTTAGATGAGTTTAACCGAGACCGGCTCTAGCTGACGGGCCATGCTGCTCACGTCCCTAAACCGGTCTGAGGATACGCTAACGCAGCGTTTTTCAAACTCTTTTTCGTCGGGAACAAAAACATATTGCGGCACACTTACCCTTAAAGCGGTTTGAATTAGGGCTGTACCGAATATTCGCTTCGTATTCGCTTCGGGGCCGAATAGTGGACCTAATCACTATTCAGTATTCGGCCGAATAGTTGCGGTCGGGCCGAATACGAATAGTGGTTACCTTACTCCCGTTTCTGCATACACTGTGATGGACTGAAATAACTCTCTCATTAACACAATGGTTGCTGTTGCCTTAGTCTGTCGTAGCGGGGGAAACTACGACCCGGTTGCGTGGTACAAACTGCATAAAATGCCAATGGCAGTATATGTGTGTGTGCGTGCGTGTGTTTGTGTGTGTGTGTGTGTGTGTGTGTGTGTGAGAGCGAGAGTGAGAAAGAGAGAGATCATGCATTTTTTTTTTCAGGGTGTCTTCGCCCAAATCAAATTTTAAGATATTGCTAACGAGAATATGAAGGTGCGTTTAAATTACATCGAACGAACGGCCGAGCGAACCATGGTTTTGAAAGAGGCGGGAGCCCGAAGACAACTAATCACAGACATCAGAAGGAGACAGTCGTCATTTTTCAGCCAAGTTATGAGAAGAGGGAAAATGGAACATTTGGTGACGACTGGAAAAATCTGTGGAAGGGGGGATAGAGGAAGACAACGATAGAAGATTCTTGACAGCCTTGTTGCACGGCAGCGAGGTGTGTCAGCACACGAACTGATACATGCTGGAGGTGATAGCTTATTGTGGAGAGGCGTGATCACACACGCCAGTCGTCAAGTCACCTGATGATGATGATACACTATTCGTATTCGGCCGAATAGTTGGTCTCACTATTCGTATTCGGCCGAATAGTGAAAATCACTAATCGGTACAGCCCTAGTTTGAATACTTAAGAAAAAAAAAAAGAAGAAAAAACTGCAAATTTAATGTCAAGCAGATTTTGAATAATTCATTACTATTGCCCAAGCACCACTAACATACGCTGGCGGCACCTAGTTTGAGATTCGTTAACGTAGCGTTAGTCAGGTTTGGTGACGTCAGCAGCATGGCCCGTCAGCTGCAGCCGGTGTTGCTTTAACCCGCCTGTACATCTTCAGAAACCAGCTCAGAGTTTCAGTTCCCGAAGGAACCAGTAGAAGTCGGATTGTTCGTTCGTTCGTTAAAACTGCCTTATGCCGTTTCCGTGCTGTTATCTGGTTGTCTAGCCTGCCGTCGTTGAGTGTCCCAAGGCATCCACCGGTCACACCATCTTGAAGGAGCCAAGCCTGCCACCTTGCACCACAAAACAAGGCCCTTTTCGGAGTCCCATATTTAACTTCTTTTCGTGCCTTAATTGTTTTCCTTCTATTTTTTTTTTTTTTGTGTGTGTGGCTCTTTTTTGGGTTTTTTTTTTTTTTTACTTGTTTTCCCCAATTTTTAAAACAAGTTTTCTTCTTGTCAAATGCCTGTCTTGTTTTTAATCTGACTGCTAACTGTTGTAGGAGCGGCTGGTCGAACGATTGGAACGCTGGGTTCTCAAGCCGGAGACCTGGATTCGAATCCTCGGTAAGGCTAGGGATTTTTTTCTGTGGCTGAGAAATAAAATCCTTACATGCACAGTCGTGGCGACAGCATTAGCCGTAAATCCTCAGACTCAAAGAACCCCTGCCTATACCACAAAAATGGTAAAATAAAGGCAGATATTGGCTCATTGTTGGCACCACTCTCTCGAGACCATGATTAACTTTTTCTGCTTTTTCACAGCTCACTAGGTCTCACAGGGTACTGACCTCCTCTAGCCTGCTATGCAACAGTTTACCCCAGATGGTGCAAAACCAGCCATTATGTATATCTGTTCATTTCCCAACACACATAAAAGACAGGGAAAAGTTAACGACTGAGATGATTCCTGCCATTCTGCACGGCGCATGTCGGTCTCTGACTTTCCCGGCATGCTTTGTGAATCTCCGCATGTTGTACGCAGTAGAAAGTTGAAATAGAGCATCTTCAAAATATGAGCCCATTGTTAAGTACAGCTTTCGGGGTTTTTTTTTTTTTTTTTTCTGTTATCTTTTTGAATAGCAAACGACTTGTTGTTGTTGGCACCTTTCCCTCATTCCAGACGATAGTGTTATACTGTGCTATGAGGAGGTATAAGACTCACAGCCCATGGCATTGGTGGCTGTGACTAGCAAGACCCACCTGCGTTAAGAAACATCTTTCACACTTAGAGCATCAGATTGCTGGAACGCTGTTGTTAGCACACGTATTGAGTGTGCTTGTTCTCAAATTTTCAGCTCTCGTCCTTTCTGCAATCATTGTTTCCCTTCATTCTTTTTTCCATCACGGTCAACGGCGTTTTTTCCCAAGAATCTATTTCAGTACATGTATCATTTGTGTCCCGCTTGCCCACATCTTTATTTTGTGAAACAACTTGAGGAAGCTTTCAACCGCCTATGCACTCTGTATTTATTGAGCTGCCCAAAAAAACATTCATTTGGATTTCATCTTAGTCATTTGCATTCATTTGAATTATTTTTATCATTCTTGGAAAGTCTTACAGTAGGATGAAGTCATTGTTGTTCATTTAAAGATCCTCTTCATCGCACATCGGACATGACCATACGTGCTCCGATCTCCTTCTGAGTATGTCTCCAAGTGTTTTAGGCTAACAACTCCCATTATTTTCTGGTTGATGTAATGACGGGTGGCTACATTTTGGTTTTCCTGTCTCGCTGCCCCAATTGGTACACCCAATGTATGCAGTCCATTCAGTGAAAAATCGTTTTCTACGAAACTGAAACCCTCACAACGTTTAGTCTCTCGAATGGCATTGTCTATAGGTGTCCGATTCCTGATAGTCAGATGCACTGCCAGTCAGGGAGTCTCTTCTCTCATTGCCTTTCACACCAGCATACCCTGGGACAAAAATTAGAGTTATCTTGTGAAAAGCTGCGTGCTGGGTTAGATGAAGCCACTGTTCCCGTATATAGTATAGTTAGTTGCGTATCCTTTACAGGACGTTGCAGAACCAACCCCAACAGCCCCTATCTGTTGTGTGGTTTCTCTAGGCAAATTTACGTCCAGTAGTTTGCCATTGCTTTCTGGAGTTCCCCTATATGCCCCGCCTTAATGTTCTGTAGCATGCTCACTGAGACACAACCAGTTTTCTTTCAACATTTAACCATTTCAAGTTTCTTATGCTTAACGTTCAGGTTTGTTTATCTTTTACACATGTGCACACAAATTTGAAAAACAAAAACAAAAACCACTCAGGGGAGATAATGTGAACTGCAGATACCTGGTGGAAGTAAGCAGGTGGAGGGTTGCAAATGCGCATGCGTCATACCGGAGGGTCCCTCACCTGTAATATGATCATCTGGGAAATAGAAATTTGTTATATAAAAGTAAAGTTTCAGTAGCAAAGATCGGCTTAATATGAACTGTTGATGATAACAATGACAACTAGGATGTCATTGCATATATCTTGTCAAATAAGTTTGTAATGTTACTGTGCCAGAAAGTAGCAGGCCGTTATCCCAGCGCATATTTTGACAAGGAATCTGTTGTTGCGATATTTGTTTTATTTGACGTTAATTTCTCACGTGTTTATCCAAACAATATCCAGCGATGTCGATAGTGATGGTGGTGGTGGTGATACTGCTTAATGTGATGATAGTGGTGGTGGTGGTGCTTAATGTGATGATAGTGGTGGTGTTGCTGCTTAATGTGATGATAGTGGTGGTGATACTGCTTAATGTGATGATAGTGGTGGTGGTGGTGATGCTGCTACTGCTGCTGCTGATGATGATGATGATGGTGATGATGATGATGGTAGTGGTGATGATGGTGGTGATGATGGTGGTGATGATGGTGTGGTGATGATGGTGGTGATGATGGTGGTGATGATGGTGGTGATGATGGTGGTGATGATGGTGGTGATGATGGTGGTGATGATGGTGGTGATGATGGTGTGGTGGTGATGATGATGTTGATGATGATGGTGATGATGATGGTAGTGGTGATGATGGTGGTGGTGATACTGCTTAATGTGATGATAGTAGTGGTGGTGGTGGTGATGCTGCTGCTGATGATGATGATGGTGGTGGTGGTGGTGGTGATGCTGCTGCTGCTGCTCATGATGATAATGATGATGATGACGATGATGGTGGTGGTGATGCTGCTTATTATGATGGTGGTGGTGGTGATGCTGCTGCTGCCGATATTGATGATGGTGATGATCATGAGGATGATGATGGTGGTGGTGGTGGTGATGCTGCTATCGAAGAGGATGATGACGATGATGATGATGACGTTGATGATGATGACTGTGGTGGTGTTTATAGAATCAGTGGTGTATCTGATGTAATGATTAGGTATCTGATAGAATCGATTGCGTCTTCTATAGTGTGTATAAAGTATCTAATATTATT